ATTTGGAGTACATTTGAGATAACTGCTTCTGGTCTTTTCAGCCAGGTAGGCAACAGAGGTCATTGTGGAGATGGCTTTAAGTGCACTATAACTTTTACCTTCATGTTTGTCAAATGACTGGAGTTACTGTATTTATGTGAGTACTGTCAGTATACATATGGATCAGAATCTGCCACTGTTTTTTCATGGAACAGTAGCCAGGAGCAGACTATAACTTTGTAATATGTGAAGGATGACTTTTCCTCTTTCGTTGTCCCTTTGCTGAGGGACTTTGGGATTGAGCAAGTTTGTCATGGTGGCTGTTTGTTCCCCAAGGATGCCTTGAATCTTTCCTGAAAGTCTCTCTCTCATCTTGTGACAAACAGTGTGTTTGTTGTGGGGTGGAAGGAGCTCTAGGACCCATAAGAGAGCTGGCAATAAAGAACATGCTGTGGATCAGGTTAACTGTTGCTGCGAAGTGCCCATAGAGAGGGATGGTAGGAAGAAGATAGTGAGCCAGATGAAAATGTTCTGAAGAATAAATTGTGGATATTGGTTGAATATTGGTTGAACCTGAATGAAAAATATTTTGAGGGAACTAATGTAAATGAACTGTACTGTAGCCAGATGTGGAACAGGTCTCGTTAGAGTGACTCTTTTTGTGTAAACAAAATAATCATATATAAACAGTTTTGACTTTTGTTGGAGAGATTTTGTAGATATATGTTAAATTCAGCTGGATTGTCAATGGAAAAGATAATAGTGATTTGATAGGAAAAAAATCTATATAACTTATTTTCAGCCACTCTACAAGTTTAAAGCAGCTGCTACCAGAAGCTTGACTATTATTACATCTGAAGAAGGAAAGTGGGTTTGAAATAGAGAGAAAATAATCAGAAGATTAGACAAAAATGCTTAACTTTAAATTAATCCCAGAGAAAGGCAGGAAAACTATATTTGTATTTTAAGTCTTGACACCTTCAGTATAATTCTGATACAGAATCCTTAAAACAATGTTTGTAATATGTTGTCTCACACTGAGAGTTGTCCAGATGGGAACTCTTAATCTAACTGTCTTTTAATATCTAGTGTGAATAGATTTATAAATAGAATTGTTTCTCCAAAATAGTTGCTATCTCGAAAGTGTTATTCCAGTTGGCTGACATGAGCCAAAAGTAATTCTGAAGCTTTTAAAAAAAATAGGTTATATGGATAACTATTAAGAATTAGATAGTTTATTTATTCTCTGTTTCTATAATATGAAAAATAAGTTACTGTTGTAACATGTAACTGATTTTTAACAGACTCTTTTAGACTAACAGCAAAGTGCAGGCTAAATCTGGGGGGAAAAAAATCAAAGGAACACAAATAACTGTTATATTATTTTTTGCATTGAGCATTTTATGTTTGTGTTTGGCTGAATAGAGATGCTAATAAGTATTGAAAAGAATTGCATGTAAGTATATGTATAAGAAGAAAAGTGTGTAATATAAATACATAAATATGCATATAAAGTAAGTATTTGTTTAGTTCTCAGCTCAGTCTTATGGTTGCAGCCTTTTAGTACTCTCAGAACAGGATGCTCCGATCAGCAGTGTTCCTGTTGCAGAAATACAGTCACCTCATTTAACTTTATACCAGCACCTCTTCTCTGTGAGCCAAGTGACAAGAAGTAAGATCCATAACACATGTATTGCAGCAGCAAGACTGTTGGGCAGGCACAGATTTAGCTGTAGCATGAGCGGAATCCCTGTGGGAAAATTAGAAGCAAGGCTGATTGCTTTGCTCTGGAACTAAACAAAATCCCAGGAACTTGTTTGCAGCACACTGTGTGAAGAAAGTACAAATTTGGTCATTCTAATCACTTTTCCATTAACATCTCTGCATCTTTTTGTAAGAAGACTTTTTGTTAAAATAATCTCATTTCAAGAAACAGGTACATTTTTATGGGAGAGACAACTTAAATTCCATCAATGTAGAATTCTGTTGGTGGTGGTGTTACCGTTTTTATAAGGTAAATTGTGTAAGCCCCGGCTTACAAAAGAAGACTGTGTGTTAACAGCTGTTGTCAAAACCACTGAAAAATAAGAAAATTCATCTTTCCCTGTTTTTAGCAGAAAGCAGTGCAATAGTGTATGTTGTGTATACTGGGGCACTACAGAGGAAGTAAGAATGATGTAATACAAGGAGCCTTTATGGATAGCTTCTTTACCTTATGTTATATGAAGGTGAAATGTTTTCATAGAGTTCAGTCTTTCATTGAGAGAGCATACTGGAGACGTTTCTGTAGTTAAAAAGCCGAAATAGCCTTAGGACAACTCTGGTAAAGCTTTCCAACTTGAAGCAGGTTTTTTAACTTGCCTGTTATCTTCCGATAGATTGACTATTGTTATGAATAAAGACAGCTTTATTTCACTTCATTTTTGCTCATGGATTTATTTTAATATCCCAAGAAAATGTTAGAGAAACTTGATAAAATAAAACCATAGACTAGGTGCAAATAGATGTAGAGAGCTGTCAGTAAAGTACGTAACAAAAGTTATTACTCATTTGAAAAGCAATTTCATAATATTTCTAAGACCTTCTCTAGCCTGTTGCTAAGTCTATAATGTAATCTGAATGCTTGTGGGAAACATTTTTAAATTTAGTGATGTTTAAGATCCCTGTGACTTCTACTATTTCCGTTCTTTGGAAATGACAGCTCCTGGTTTGGGAAATCAAAATAGATCTAACAAGATTTAAATTTTTCTATGATCATCAGTAAGAACAAGTTTTGCACCCTTCTTGCTTATGGTACAGCACTGTCTTGAATTAAAATAGCTCTTACTATGTAGAAGCTAAATCTACAATTTATGCCTTAATCTGTGTATCCCAGCATCTCACAGCTTCAGGACAGAAAAGTGAAGCTTTTAAATTTGCTTGTCGGAGTCTGTTTTAGTCCAGCTTTGGGAGTGGGGAGCTGGGTTCAGGGATGAATGAATGAATGAGGAAAAGGTCAGGATTACCCTTTCAGGAGCTCTGCCAGGTCTAAATGCTGATATCATCAAGGCTGTAATTCCACAAGTAGAGCTCTTTGCAGAAACGGGAATCCTCACATTCCAATTTCATGAAGGGTTACAGAGCTTTTCCCCTCTGTTCTTACAAAAAAGGCCTGACTAATCATTTATAATGGAGGGGAAAAAAGGAATGCTGTTATGAAGCACTGTTAACCTATTGCCAACAGAAAGCTACCTAAAGTAATCCTGCCCAGTTAAGAGCAATCTCTGCAAGGTACTCAAATTTAGTAAAATTTTCCAGATTTACTTTGAAAAAGTACTTTTATTTTTTTTCCTTCTTGGAGGCTCGAAGTGGAAGAACTTTGTAGTTTATAGTGATGTTTTGGATGCTTTTCTAAATTGATTTTAAAGATACTCTCATTTTAATGAGAGTTTGGAATATTTTCTGTGGTACTTTCTATGATCACTTGAGAAAAGAAATGGCTCTTATGTCAGAGAATATGCTTGTACAGTGGGAAGATCTTACAGGTTGTTGCTGTATTTAATCTGTAAAGGCTCCTGGCAGTTTTCTGCAAACCTGTTCACTTCTTTGACACTTCAGAAAGAGGGAAGATTAGTAGTTCATATTACTTATCTCACTAAAGAGGGAACAAACCAAATGGTGAAAGTCTATAATAATCCAGAGGCTATATTTTATCTCTTTTATACATAGCTAAATCTGAGACTTGTATTTTTCCTTCCCTCCTTGTTCTGTGGAATAAATGTAAAGATCAAATTTGTATGCTAATGGAAAACAACTTGTATTAATAGATTATCATAAAAACCTTTCAGACACTGACTTCCATTGTGGCTAGATAATGTGGTTTTTTTGCAGAAGGCAGATTTCTCAGCAGACATAAATCTGGTAAATCAGGCCTTATGTTTTGGGTGTTTAAAGTTTGTGTTAAGTTGGCTGCAGATACAGAAACTCAGCGCTTGAGTGACTGTAGGAACCAGTACGTTCTGGGTGGTCTTCAAGTACAGTTTGTTCTTATTGCCATGTCAACTCATTCATTGGTTTGTCCTTCAAGCTCTGTGTACAGCTTTTATTTAGAAGCTTGTTCCTGAAGGATCCTGACATCTTTTGCGCCAGTGTGGAGGTGACTTAGAGATGTTCCTAAAGCTTATTCTGGCAGAATTTAAACTTATGTAGCCTTTTAAAAAAATAGTGTGTGAAAGCGTCTGTGGCCCATATCTTTGTTCTCTTTATTTTTATATATAAATAATATTTATAAACTGATTAGATCACCTAAGTCTATTAGTGTGACATAAACTCAGCTTTCAAGGCTCACTGAAATTTTATGGCTTCCTTCTAAGAGTATCAGTAAAAGCTACATTGAAAATCGGCTTTCTTAGTTAAAAACAGGTATACCATGATAGAATGTGCAACTTTTTAGCTGTGTTAGGCCCAGTTTGCAGAAATAATTTTAACTACCTAAGGTGTGATGATGATTGGTACAAGTGCATGTAAAGGAAGTGCTGAGATCCTGCACTGAAACTTTCATGGTTTATTCTTCCCCTCTAGACCTGTTTTCTTACTCTTTGTTTTTCTGATACTGTTATGCTAATATCTTTGCATTTGGGCAAAATTTATTCATCATCTCTATGATGCTCAGTAGTACCTCGTAGATTTAAATGTCATTGTTTTGAGAGTCTTTGGGGATATCAAGATCAGAACCCTGATGGTTAAGGCCAAGCATGTATTTTCATAGATCCAATAAGACTTACAGCAGCTAACAACTGTGTGCTTGTCTACAAATGAAATAAATGTGTCTGAATGAGACCTAAAGCATGTTACTCCAGTCCTGGCAAATGTTAGTATTAAATGGTGAGATTCTTATGATCTGTCTTTTGTTAGGAGACACAGTGTATTCTACTTTTCCCAATAAAAATAAAGTTTTTTTACAGGGAAAATTTTACTATCCTGATCTTGTCCTGCCTTGAGAGTAAATGTGTCACATTTTACTTTCTTAATTTTTTTGGTAGGTTATTTGGGAAGGGAATACTTTGTTGAACACAACAGCACAAGATGACTTATAATTCCTGCTCTTCGTGGGAACCTGTCTGGATTGGTATGCTTTGTGTTTTGTTCATTGGTTTTTGTTTTGTTTGGGGGTTTTTTTGCTACACTGACATATAGTGATTGTATGTATAGTCCACTTAAAGTTTAGGAAGCCAAGCATTTAAGAAACTTCCAACTTGTTACCTGTGTGTTAATAACTAGAAGGAGACTATGAATTAAAATAGTATATTTTCAGTAATGTTTTCAATGTTTACTGTTGTTCTAGGTACTACAGTATTTAATTAGCTCTTCATCATGAATATAGTTATATGACCGTTTAGCTACTGGGAAAGTTAGAAGGCGGGGAAATATGACAGTACAAGAAATGAACCTAGAACTGTGTAAGTCCTTTCACGTGATCTACAACTTGAGAACATGAGTTTTCCTGAGAGCTAAGAAAATAGGATTATTCTTTACATTTTGCATATTTGTGGTTTGCAATAGTAATAATGATTCCCATGGCTGACATTTCTTGACAGTTAATGGCTCTCTGAATTAAGGACAGAAGGAAATATCCTCAAGAGGGCAATTAGTTGTACTAAATGACCCAAAGCAGAGGTGACTGTTTTCCCACAATTGCTACAGTAGTGTTTATAGAGTGGAAAAAAGGACAATTTCCTAAATTAAAGTAATGCCTCTTGTGAATAGTTTTATGGGTCATCTACTCATGCAGTGGAGTTGATTAGTTTCAATTTAGGATATGTAAATATGTATTAAAACTGAAAACTGCTGGTTCCTTTTAGGTAAGAACATTGTCCCTGCTGATTTGTGCTCTGACTCATTCTTTGCACTGGCTTTAGCAGAAAGGATTCCATTGCAACGTGTTCCTGCCTCTACTTAATTGCACAGGAAACAATTCTTGTTTCATATTGAGAGGGGTGTATGTCCTGGGCTGGTTTGTACAATAATGGGATGTCAGAGAGCACATACTCGAGTATTTTCTATTGGCATATAAATTGTTTTGAAAACAAAATATGCCCATGGCCTTCATGCTTGTTATTGTTTTTAACCTAGAAATACTTTGCTTTTTAAATTGATTTTATGTTGCAAAGATAATTTTTGCCAAAATTTACCTTTAAAATAAAACCATTAATAGTAGCTATAAACATGCAGATGCTCCCCATTTGTAACCTTAAAACGTCCCCAAGAAATAGGATCACTGTACCAGGCATTGCTAGCTTCAAGTTTCTGAATAAGAATGGTGTTTTTGTGTGCTAGACCAAATCTTGATGCTGGTCAGTATTGAAAATATGCTTTTAGCAGACAAATATATTAAGTCATTGAACATTTTGGCAGCTGTGTTCTGATCTGCATTAAACCTGTTATTATGGCACTGTTAGGTTCCCTGTTACTGATTTTGACTGATGTTGCCTTTGCATATAAGATATAATGTTTTATTTCCAGTTGAGCATGCTCTCCGAATTTTGAACAGAAACCTTTTAGCTTCTAAAGCTGTTAAAAACAGATGCCATAGTTCTAGCAATAATTATATTTGATGAATGGAATTTGTGTGTTATTTAGCTTTAAGTATGTACTTCATTGAAATAATTGTGTCTATTATGTTCCATAAAAAGAAAGTTGCATATGAACCAGAACCTTGCTTGAGAGAATATGTGCATACACAGTAAATTTTAGCACTGAAATTGAAAACAGTGATTGTATGAACCTCTTTTGCATCTGAAAAGAACCTGTGAGAGCACATGTTCCAAAAGTGAGAATGCTGTGACAAAAAGGTATCTATCTGCCTCTTGCTTGAGTACTTGACCATCAATAGTCTTACCCATTTAAACTATCAGAACATGGTTGTCTTTTACAAGCTATGTGATTACCATTCAGGAATGACTGTGGCTTTGAAATTACAAGATCTGTCTTTCTCAAAGTGCGAGTGAGGACTGAAATAGAATTGCTGTGAAGTTATCTTAGTGGTTCCTTTCATCTTATATTTCTATACATAATTTTGGGGAAGTTGGAAGGGTACGAAGAAGAATGGGGGAACACGTTTAATAATCATGTAGATGCTCATGGTAGAAGCCCTTTAAGTAGAGAAAAAAAAAAGGACTTATGACTGCAATAGAAGGGATCCTCTTGAATTTACTGGCTAAATTGTCTGTCACTTTTAAGAAGGATGATAGCTGAGAAAGAGCATTGCCTGCAGGTTAGATAAGTGTAAATCCAAATCACATCTGAACATGCGGATTCAGTATGCACTGCACAGAAAGATTTCATACCTCAGAGTGATAAACAGAGTACAGAGAAGAGTGTTGCCTGGAAATCATCAGGAAGCAGTGAGCACAGGAGCAACACTCAACAGTTACTTTTTCTGTTGAATCCAAAGCCTGCAGTACTCTTACTAGGTTAGGTGTCTTCTTTGCAAGAGTTGATCAGTGCTCGCTCTTTCGTCCTTGAAAAGATACGGCTGATGACTTATGCAACAGCCAAATGGCCTCCACTCATTTCCACTTTAAGCAGTTGGCTGGTCCAGGCAGCAGCTTGCATGAGGTCATTCTCCTTCTGTTAACGCCACACAGGAAAACATACAAGCATCACACTGAGGGGAGGAAGCACAAAATAGGAGGTAGCTATTTGCACAGTGAGCTGGGATGGTGAGAGAGCATATGTGAGATTACTTTTCTTAGACACTTTTCCTGGGTTTGTTAGGAATAGGCTATAGATATCTGTGAGTCCTTTGTCCTTTGCTATAATCTGAATGCTCCTTGTCTTGAGAAATGTGGAGTAGCACAATCTTTCTGACCGAATTAAGGGCGCAGAACATCTTTGCTCCTGCTCCCCTTGTCTGGTTCCTTCTGTTTAGAAGGAAAATTTATGATAAAGCAGTATTTTCTAAAACTTTGGTCCTTTACTGTGGAATATTAGAATTGTTTGGTTGTTTTTTGTTTGATTTTTTTCCTCTTTAAAGCTTTTATGATACATGTTAACATCTAAGCCTCTGCTGAACTTCATACCTCAGAGTATAAAGTTATGTGGCATAAAGGATGTAAACTTAACCTAAGTGAGCAGACTCTGTTGTGTATATTTAAAGTTAGTCCAGTAACTGCATATGTATGTGCTCAAAAGTCTGTATTCAAATCAGATGGCCATGTACCCTTTGCAGTCAGCAGAGGGAGATGGGTGATTCACCTCTTCCTGACATGGACATCTATATAAAGATCATGTGAAAAATGTCCTAAATTGCCTTCTTAATCCACAGAAGCTCTATGGCATCCACAACATCCTGTGGCAAATGTTTTCACAATTAATTGTGAAATAATAATTTCCAGATCTGGGCTCCTCAGAGACATGGACATACTGGAGAGAATAGAGTGAAGGGCTACAAAGATGATGAAGAGACTGGAGCATCCCTTCTGTGAGGAAGGGCTGAGAGAGCTGGGACTGTTCAACCTGGAGCAGAGAAGGCTCAGGGGGATCTTATCAATGTGTGTGTGTATATATATATATATATATACACATACCTGAAGGGAAAGTGCAAAGAGGACAGTGCCAGGCTCTTTTCTGTCATGCTGGGTGACAGGGCCAGAGGCAATGGGCAGAAGCTGAAACATCAGGAAGCAATTTTTTTTCCCCTCTCAGAGTGAGTGAGCACTGGAACAGATCCCCCAGAGAGGTTGTGGAGTCTATCCTTGGAGATACTCAAAAGCCACATAGACATGGTCCTGGACTACTGACTCTAGGTGGTCCTGCTTGAGCAGAGAGGTTGGACAAGATGACCTCCAGAGGTACCTTCCAACCTCAACTAGTCTGTTTTTGTGATTCCTTTGACTTTTCGTATTCTTATGTTATGAAAGACAGCAATCATTCACTTTCCCTGTGCCACTAATAATTCTGTAGACCTCTATGATACCTTTTTCTAGTCACCTTTGAATAGAGATCGGGTGGTGCAGAATTGAACATAGTACTGAAGATAAGAAGGTGCCATGGATATGTACTGTAGCAGATACCATATCTGAATACACAATGTATATAACTACCTCCTGGTTTTCTTCTCAGTGTCTTTGCTAACAATTCTGAGCACTTGGCTGATGTTTTCATAGACCAGACTATGAAAATTTGAAGATCTGTTTTTCTTCTGGGTGGTAATTATTGGTTTAGCACCTGTAACTGTGCAGATAACTTTTTTTCAGTCCAGGTAGAGCTTTATCTCTAGCCCTGGATTTTATTGGGCAGACTGGTAGCTTGCCACTACTCCTCAAGAGATCCTCTATGCCTTTTTATAGTTGATCTTAGTTTTTATTATATCACCCTGAAAAACAGTTCATGTTCATCATCAGCAAATGTCATAGTTTTGCATTTCCCTCTTCTCTTCTGCAGGTTGATGAGCTTGGACCCTAGTATAGATTTTCTTTGTAGGATCATTCTGATGACCTTTTTTCTCTGCAAAACTAACTACTCCTTCTTTAGTTTCCTGTTTGAAACTGATTATTGTCTATAGGAGGGGTTTACATATATCTAATTGCTCTAAATTTCTTTTAGAGCCCTGTTGGAGAGACCTTGTCAAAGCCAATCAGAAATGCAAAAGTTACCTTTGCTGGCTTATTGCTTACAGAGCTTTAAAAGATACTGCCCAGGGGATCTAATTTTCTTGCTCCAAGATTTTAAATCCAAAATGATTTGTTGAATTTATTCTCTTTTGCAGTCCCTGCAGAATGCTACAGCTTCCTTTCCTCTTCAGTGTTCTTGTCTTGTGGAGTCATAAACCTCAGTGGAACTTGGGGTGAGATTTTCTTGTTCATTGCTAAAATATTTTTTACTTATTCTGGAAAGTTCTGTTAACCTTTTTGCTGTTGGTTCCATACTTTATTCTAAAAAATATATTAAAGAAGACCAGTAAAGGAAAAGTTTATAAAGGCCAAAGAAAGAATAATTTTGGCTAATATAGATGCTTTAGCTTGTAATTAGCATTGAGGCTTTCTCTAAAAGAGTTAGTGTAAAAATAAAATTAAAGAGAAATAATGGGGGGGAAAAAATCTAGAATAAAGTTAATGGAATTTTTCATTTTTGCAAATATGTCAATATACATAGCTAGTATACTTTTGCTGAGTTTTGAAATATAATAGGATAAAATGGAAAATTATGTCATTCCCTCCCATTCAAGCAGTCAAACCCTTCTCGGAAGTGGAATTTGTAAGACTCTCTATTGGGTTTGTGTGACAAACTTTTGGTAACAGTGGGGCTGCAGGGTTGGCTTCTGTGAGAAGCTTCCTCTATGACCACTAGAACCAATGTCAGATGGTACCAAGACAGACCCATCAGTGACAGTGGAAGTGCCTCTGGGGTAACAGATTTAAGAATGGAGAAAAAGTTACTGTGCAGAAGCAAATTACAGCTGGAGAGAGGAGTGGGAATATGTGAGAGAGCTCTGCAGAAGGGAGGATGTACCCCAGGCACCAGAGCAGAGATTCCCCTGCAGCCCATGGTGAAGACCATGGTGAGGCAGCTGTGCCCCTGCAGCCCATGGAGGTCCACAGTGGAGCAGATTTCCACCTTCAGGCCCAGGAAGACCACAGACCAGCGAAGGTGGAGGCTGTGACCCCATGGGAAGCCTACACTGGAGCAGGCTCCTGGAAGGACCTGTGACCCTTTGGAGGGAGGAGCCTATGCTGGAGGAGGTTTGCTGGCAGGACTTGTGACCCTGGGGGTGACCCATGCTGGAGCAACCTGTTCCTGAAGGACTGCACCTTATGGAAGGGACCCATGCTGGAGTGGTTCAAAGAAAAACTGCAGCCTGTAGGAAAGACTCATGTTGGAGAAGTCCATGGAGGACTGTCTCCCATGGGAGGGACCCCATAATGGGGCAGGGGAAGAATGTGAGGAGTCTTCCCCTTGTGGAGGAAGGAGGAGCAGAGTAAACATGTGATGAACTGACTGCAACCCCTATTCCCTGTCTCTCTGTGTTGCTGGTGGGGAGGAGATAGAGAAAATTAGGCACAACGTTAAGCCCAGGAGGAAGGGAGGAGTGGGGCAAAGGTGTTTTTAAGACTTAGTTTTATTTTCTCATTACTCTACTCTGATATAATTGTTAATAAATTAAGCTAACCATTATTTTTTTTGCCCGTGAAGTATTATCCAGTGAAAGGAAAACTTTTGCTCCTACACAAAGCATGTGGTCCTTGTATAAATTCATAAAAAAAATTCCCTCCTCCCATCACTTTTGCCCAATGTTGATACCAAGTAGAACCTGCTTAAATACCGCGGGCAGGATTTGTGCTACCAAACATAAGCTGTTTGTGTTAGCAGCACAAGCTTGTCGCTGTGTGCAGAGATGGAGGAGATGCCCTCTGAAGATGGCTCTATCCCTTTTCTGATTATAAACATGAAAACAGCCAGAAGGGACTGTTGCAGTCATCCCGAATGAATGAGGTGAATCCCACTTTCTGTTTCTATCTGTAGTGATCTGTTTTTTAAAAGGGCCTAGAATCCATCTGGTTTCCAGCTTGATCAGATGCCAGTGTGCTCTGAGAGTCTTTAATAGTCTTTAATAGTCCAAGATAGAGGGGAGGAGCTAGCACTGAAAAGGGGAGAGAACTCTCAAATCTTTGTATTTTATTTATGAGAATGTGTACATGTAAGTACATGTAATAATACAATACTAGTATAATACACGTAAAGATAGTAAATATGAGGCAGCACATGTAAACTATAAAAAGAAACATTACATTGTGTCAGTACCTAAAACGGGCCTGCGAGAAGGCTGGAGAGGGATTTTTTCCAAGGGTATGTAGTGACAGGACAAGGGGCAGTGGCCTTGAGCTGAAGTGAGGGAGAATTAGGCTAGATACTAGGAAGAAATTCTTTACTGTGAGGGTGATGAGGCACTGGAACATGTTGCCCAGAGAAGTTGTGGATGCCCCATCCTTAGCAGTGTTTAAGGCCATGTTGGACAGGACTCTGAGCAACCTGGTGAAACCTAGTGAAAGGTGGCAGTGGGGCTGGAACTGTATGACCTTTACAGTCCCTTCCAGCCCAAACCATTCCATGACTGTGTAATGGCAAGGGAGAGAGCTGAGCAGTCTAAGGATTAGATATACAGGGAAGAAGAGGGTATACACAGTTAAATTATTTGGGATACAAAGTTGAATTAACAAAGACATGCCTAGACTAGTAAAAGCAGGAAAACTTGCTGCTGTGGGAAGAGTTGTAGTGAGCAGAGATAGTTTCCTGCATCTTGATATGAGTCAGTCTCTAAATGTAACGAATTGAGAAATACTTTTATCCTGTGGACAAGTTACTTGATAATTAGTAATAGGTTAGAATGTTTTGCATGTTTTTCCTGAGACATCTAATGTGGATGAATGACACAGAACCAAGAATTCTGTATTATGTACAGTAACTTGGATAGGTAGGCTTTTTAGTGCTTACCAAAGTAGCAGATAGGCGATACTGATACTATTTAAGCTGTTTAAAAATGTCATTAAAGTTTCCATCTGTAGGCAATTCCAAAACAAAATAATGAAGTTAGTTTAAAAATTATGAGATTTAAGTAAAGGTACTTACTTGATTTATTCACTCTTAATCAGTAAAGTTTGTTTTCAAACTGTAAAGTTTGTTTCCAGCCTTGGTTATGGTAGGAAAAAAAACTTGGTGAGTTGTGAGTATTGTATGGTATCAGCAACACTACAGGAGCAGGAGAGAAAGGCCAAATATTACGAGACTTCTGTGTCTGGTGCTTAAGTAAATTGTGTCAACCTGAAGTGTAAACATATATTAAAGGTACTTTTATCATTAAGGAAAGCTGAGCAATCATTTGGTTCCCATTGGTTTCAGAGTTTTACTTTGTTTCTTTATGTTTCTTTCTTATTTTTCAGATGGAAATACTGACATGAACTTAAGAACTTTGATGCTTTCAGACATTGAATTTTGATTGTTAAACGATCAGTTAAAAATACTGCCTGAACAAGATGAAATGCCTTGAAGACTTTTGGTTCTGCTTTCATTTCTCCTGAAGCAATGGTTTTCTCAGCAATGTTGACACTGGCCCACTCTGGGACCTCAAATGCTACTTTTATTGTCTATGAAAATGCCTATACGAATTTTACCACTCCCCAGTTCTTGCTTCATAGTGGCACAACACAGCCATTGAGATATAGTTCAGGTGTTGTGCTCACCACTGAGAGAAGTACTTTTCTGGTAAACACTACAGCTATCCTACCATCGCAAGAAGTTTTCAGGAGCTTGAGTTTGCCACTCCAGATCATTCTTTCTGCTGCTATGATATTTATCCTATTGGTTTCTTTCCTTGGAAACTTTGTTGTCTGCCTCATGGTCTACCAGAAGGCAGCTATGCGATCTGCAATTAACATCCTCTTAGCAAGCCTGGCTTTTGCAGACCTGCTGCTGGCAGTGCTGAATATGCCATTTGCTCTTATAACAATCATTACCACTCAATGGATTTTTGGGGATATATTTTGCAGAGTTTCTGCCATGTTCTTTTGGCTTTTTGTCATAGAGGGGGTAGCCATTCTTCTCATTATTAGTATTGACCGATTTCTTATCATAGTTCAGAGGCAAGATAAACTGAACCCTTACCGTGCAAAGATTCTCATTGTGATTTCCTGGGCGGCATCCTTTGTTGTTGCTTTTCCATTATCAGTAGGGAATCCTAACCTGCAGATACCCTCGAGAGCACCTCAGTGTGTTTTTGGCTACTCTACAAGCCCAGGCTACCGAGCCTATGTGATAGTTATCTTGCTAATTTCTTTTTTTATTCCCTTCCTGGTAATGCTGTATTCTTTTATGGGCATACTCAACACCGTCCGCCACAATGCAGTTCGTATCCATAGCCACCCTGATAGCATATGTCTCAGCCAGGCCAGCAAACTTGGTCTCATGAGCTTACAGAGACCTTTTCAGATGAATATTGATATGAGCTTTAAAACTCGTGCCTTCACAACCATCTTGATTTTATTCCTTGTCTTCATAGTCTGTTGGGCACCATTCACCACTTACAGCCTTATTGCCACGTTCAACAGCCACTTCTACTACAAGCACAACTTTTTTGAGATAAGCACTTGGCTCCTTTGGCTCTGCTACCTCAAGTCTGCACTGAACCCACTGATTTACTACTGGAGGATTAAGAAGTTTCATGATGCATGCTTAGACTTGATGCCCAAATTCTTCAAGTTTCTGCCACAGCTACCTGGCCATACAAGGCGGCGCATTCGACCCAGTGCCATCTATGTGTGTGGGGAGCACCGGTCGGTGGTTTGAAACTGTGGCTCTTTGACAATGATTGTTGTATTTTGGGATTGTTTTCCGGCTTTAGGTTGAATTTTGTTTTGTTTCATATGGCTTTTTCAGTATGGCCATATCTTATAACTTGATTTAGTTTTCCACTACTCTGTGCAATTTTGGGAAGATAGAGGGAGGGAAAGTGATTGGTTATAGTTGGGTTTACTACCAGAACACAATGTAAACAAAATAACAAATGTTACCTCTGGGATTCCATGGAAATCCATTCTTTTAAATGAAAACTACATTTGTAACATTTTGTCAGGTTTATGCTTACTAGGCCTGCAATCTAATTGTAGGGACTTTTTATGCTGCTAAGATATGGTGTATTTAGTTGGTGTAATTTTTCTGAAAAATGTTGCTGCTGTCTGCCAATATAATAGATCCAAAAAGTCTCGTTAGATTACTTCTATTTAATTTAACAGTATTTCAGAAGTTTTCATTATAGCATTAGAAAACTTTTTTTAATATTTCCATTAATATTTTTGTGCACTTTACAAAATTTGCTATATAATTTGTTCATTGGAATATTTTATTCTGTATTGAAGGTGTATTATTATTGCTGTTAAAATTTGTTATGTTGGTGAATTTCAGTGAAAGACCCACGTAAGTTGTAGGAGGGCAATTTATGTTGGTATAGCTACATGTACATAAATTTGCTGTTTTTTTAACAATTGGTCAAAAGTAACTAACTGCTCAGTTATCAGAGGAGTTAAAAGGAGAAAACAGAGGAATGGAATGGAAAGAGAGCAACAAAAATTCCATGACCTGAGGTTTAGGCTAACACAAGATTTAATAAGATAGTGTTCATGTGAAAATTATTATGAGGTAAAGGGTGACTGTAGTTATTACTTGAGGCTGTTGCAAGCTACTCAAACCTGATGATATGCCTGAAAACCTATCTGAAATAGTGATTTTTGGTTCTGCAATTTATACTGTGTTTTTGTAGTGATGTTTCTGCTCAGAGCTCATATAAGGCTGGATATGCTCTACACTGTTGAAATCATGCTGTCAGGCATTTGTTGGGATAGAATTAGAAATAGTAGGGTAAACCAGAAAAGAGATGGCAAATAACCCATAGCTGAGGTTAGGATTTAGTCTATATAGTAATTACAGGGGAAGAAAAAATCCTCAACTTGCTTGTTTTACAATTTAAGTATTGGACCAAAACCATAAACAGACAATCACAGAATCATAGAATGGCTTGGTTTTGAAGGGATCATAAAGATCATCTAACTCCAACTCCACTGCCATGAGTACGGACGCCTTCCACTAGATCAGATTGCTCAAAACCCCATCCTTCCTGGCCTTGAACACTTCCAGGGATGGAGCATCCACAGCTTCTTTGGGTACCCCATTCCAGTGCCTCACCTCCCTCACAGGGAAGAAGTTATTCCTGTATCTTATCTAAATCTACCCTCTTTCAGCCATTACCCCTTATAACAGTCAGCCAGCAGAATTTGCTGGGAATGTAAGTTAAATTCCCCTTTTCCCTCTGATACTACTTTACATTGATTTTTTTTTCATTGCCTCTTTGTCTCAGTAGTGGCTGCTGCCTCAAGGGTTTATTCTACTGTTCTCATCTATTAGGCATCAGCTTCTCTCCCTGAATGCCAAACTACCTTTCTGATTAATGTCAGGCTGTCTTGATACCTGCCTGGAAAGCAGAAAGGCGAAGATTTTCCTTAATGATGGCAAATCAGACTCAGATTATTTTTTTTTCAATCAGCTAAATAAATATTTATTGTGAGATAAGTAAAATTAAGATTTGGGTTTGGGCTTTGAAGCTCAGAGCTTTTTGCTCTGAGACTGGGGAAAAATGCCTGTAAAATTTGTATGTCCTTGCAGTGAGCTTTTTGAGCTGATGACTGAGAACAGGGGCATTGATGTACAACAAACCTAACAACCAGAGCTAGAATTTGGGCTTCTCTTGCTTCCGTCTCTTTTTCAGAACCCCAAAACATGGGAACCTCTTCATTGTTCTTGTACCTGAGGAGCAAATAATAGCAATTTTATCTACTTCTGTCTATCTACGCAGTACATGTTTGCATAAAGAAAATGCCTTGTTCTGTGTGGATGTCCAGGGACTACTTGCTTCCTGAGGACAACAAAACATTCACACCCCAATGTGAATTCTTCTTCAATGAAGAACTAATTTAAGTTGTCTCTGTTCTTCTCATTGACAGCTATCGGTAAAAGTGTTGGCAGTATTTAAATTTTAGGAGCATAAAAGGAACAATTTTGAATTTAGTAATTTCATTTTTTGAAAAAAGCTGCTAGCTGAGGTTGTGAGGTTGTGGGTTACAGGTAAAGTTACATGATGCCCAGCAGTGGCGAGGTTATTGATGTCCGTACTTTCCTTTCCTTGTCAACTTCACTGATGATGGTATGGATTTTTCTGATTGAAATGACAGACAGTAAAAGACTTCCACTATAAAAGAGAGTGTTTTAGTGTGTCTTTGCAGTAAAGCTTTTATTTTTCAATTACATTTACATTGACAGCAGAAGTTTATGACCTGGTTAGTATGGATTTTCCGTTTCAGAGCTGTCATACCTGTTTATCTCTGAAAGCAGCAAAACTGTGCTTAGAGTTAAAGTAATAGAGAGCATACACTGTCTAAATGGCAGGAACAGGTATTTTTGGTGTCTTCCAGCACTACAATGTAAGAGATTTGAATGAGTGTTGTAAAACATAATTCAAGAAGAGAAGAAGATGAGTAATACAGGAAAGTTAGTGAAATTACTTTCTTGAAGGAGGAGGGGAAAACATTTTGTGGGGATTTCTCAATTTGCGATAAGTACTGGCTGTGAAGTGGAAATTGCAAACATCAAAGACAGTTAATTTGTTTTGATAATTAAGTGTTTGCTTACACTGACTGTAACAAGGTTTCTTCTCAGAGCTGCATTTGCTGATCCTTAGAGAAAAGAAACCCAAATTGCTGACCCGTATTCAGAGGTAATTTACACAGTGATACAGTATTCACACTAGGTCTTTTGAGGTGATCAGAGCATACGTGAACAAAAGGGTGTTCAAGAATCAAGGTGGTTTAGAAGTATCCCCAGGGTAATTATGTGTTTACAGGTCTATTTGAGCTATTGTGTCTAATATACATCTCTAGAGCCGTGCCTTGATAATTGCAGCTGAAGTCCTAGAACCAAGTTGAAGACCTCTAAACTGCTCAGTCTTGCTGCCTGTGATCCTGCCAAGGATCCTGTATAACCATGCTAACATTTGTAATGTCAAAACATAAACATGTTGGCAGAGTTTGGGCTATTGAGGCATTTTAGTGGGCTTGACCAAGACCAAGGATTTAAAAAACTCAAATAGACCCTTGTTGACTCTATGTGGGAATTATAATTTTCTTCCTCTCCAGAAATAAGTCATTGCTAATCTGTATTCCCTCATGTTACATTTTCAGACATCTTTAGTATGGAGGATTTAAATGAATGTATTTTGAATTATGTTGCAGTTTAATTCATTCTGTCAAAGCATGCTGCTTACAGAGTTCTCAATTGTATAAATCTATTGATGAAATGATTCTTTTGTACTCAAAGTTGTGTATTTTTGTCATTTCGTGTTATACGTGTAAAATATTTCTGTATATAGAGAAGAAAATTGTTTTGCCTCTTATTGCTTTCTGTTACTATTTTTTTCACTTGTATCCTTAATGCTTTCATATTTTATTTCGAGCATATGCATAAAAAACTGTAAGGTTTCAATGATTTTTCTGCGACCATTTGAGATTTCTAATTCTCAAATCATTCAACAATGCCCTCCTTGAAAGAGATTTTAATTTATTTTTGTGTGAAAACTAAAAATTCAGAGCACAAGTTTGTTGTGGTTAGAATGGTGAGGAATATCTTAAGTCCTGTTTTCCAGGAGCCAGTATGAACTGGCTTGATCTTTTTGGGTTTTTTTGAGAAGTAGTCCTTTTCTGATGTGGAGAAACCTTGAATTACTGTTTTAAAACAAACTGTTAAGTAGAATGGCGTTTTCTTTTCTGTGCATATTACACCTGTGAAAACACTTGAGAAAATAAACAAAAAAAAAGAGAGAAAATAAACATAAACATTCTCCAAAAAGGTAGCAAAAATCTTCAGAATTGACTCTATGTTTGTACATTCACAGGTTTCTTGGATTTAATGCCCAACTTCATAGTCTCAAACAATTTATTTTATCTGTATATTAAATAACAAAGATTGCCTGATTTAAGTGGTTTTGTTTAAGCCAAAATGTTTCTCATGTTTCTAAGGCACAGGGGTAGAGACATGTCAAAACAATTGAAAATAGTACTTAAACCAACTGAAATAGTATCCATCAAGAGAGAGAATACCTAAAAAGAAAATAATTTTCCTAAAATACTACCTGAACTGGGTGTACTACCTTTTAGTTTGGATTGAGTAATTAAGATCATCTTATTCTACAATAAATAAACCAGGCAGCGGTACTGCATGGCATGATTCATATCAACACAAGATAATGACCTTTATGATTCAAGTGCTGCATGTTTGTATGTGACAGATTATTCCTCATATTAGTAGAGTGAAAAATGTTCAGGCTCTTGGCTGTTTGGGGGAAATCTTTCAGCTTGCTAATGATTTAACAGAAATTCTACTGGAGCAATTTCTCTAAATGCTGAAGTCAAAGACATGACACTAAAGAATTCCTGAGAGGGAATGGGTATTTCTGGTTGCTTGGAAATGGCCTTTCTCAGCTGCCCACATGCCTGATGGTGAGAACTGTACGTCTGCAACAACCACTTTTTTCTCTCTTGTCCTCTCCTGGTCCCCTGAGGTAGCGCCTTCTGCACTGCTGTGTTGCAACAGGTACAGTGGTGGCAGGAGGAGGTGGAGGTGCCTGGAGAAGCTGTGCAGCCAGCAAACCTTTCACCTCTCCACTCTCTCCTACCTTGAGTTCAGGTTGGACTGAACAGGAGCACATATATTTGCCTCTAGTGCAAATATATGTGCAATATATAGCAATCCTGCTAGTGCAGGATTCTTGTTTTATCCCCAGTACTGTTACAGGTTTTATTCCACACTCATCTTTTGGAGCCCAAGCTACATCTCTCTATAGCCAATTCATGACTGAATAAGAATCCCTTAGCTGACTTGTGTCTCTGTCTCTGTGGCTCTGGGCACAGGATCTGCTAGTGACCTTCCACCATAACAAAAGGTCCTATAATTGCTCTCAAAGAAAAATGGCGTTCATGGAGACAACCACAACTATGCTCAGATATGAGGGAAAAAACAGCCTTAAGTCAGTGACTGCACTGTAGGGTGGACAAAAATGTGAGTTGTAATGGGACTTTTTAAGTGCCCCTTACAGAGAGAGTTTTTAAAATTTATTTATGGATATTTATGCACAAACTGTTGGGTTGTGTTCTACCTACAGTGAATGCAGCTTGGTACCGAATCACTAACAGTACTGCTGATAAGTAACATAGTATTCATAAATACCAAAGAAGAACATGTTCCTGGTTTATATTATTATCCTATCTAGATGACCATCTTTGCTGGTGTGTGGGCACAGAACACAGCAATAATGAGACATACTCCTTGTATAATTGGTGCTCTGCCTTAAACAGATTACTGCAATCCAAATCTCTGTGGTAGACCTGAAATAAAATTAAGCCTGTTCACCAACATGAGTAGGAATTCCACCAACACTACCCTGTCTGTTGAAGAAGGTCTAGTGAAATAAATGACAATTCCTCCAAAAGTCAGTTTGTCTGATCTCCAAAGGGGATGTAATCACAGCTGCTATAAGTTTAACAATAGCTTCTTTTCATTTACTGGGTCTGGGCTCTGTGTCAAAGACAGAGGGGAGAGTTTGGTGGCTGAGGGTACTGCCTGAACACCCAGGATGGCAAGAGGGAGCCACTGGAGCTTACGTGAAAATCTCAGGGCTGTAGTTTAAGCCCTGCTGTTCTTTGGGGTGTCAGTGCTGCCTTTCCCCGTGAAAGTAATTCCTTTTAAAGGAAAAGAGATGAAATGACATCTCTTCTATCATCTGCCTCTTAATTGACTAACTATGAGAATAGTAATTCTGAATTTGATTCCCTAGACTTGGATTTCCTTCCCTTCCTCACTGGAGAAGATTTGAAGTTGTCTTTTGTCAGCCTGTGTGCTGTGGTCTGTTCCAGAGGAGATGGGAAGAAGGTGAGAGGCTGTGCACTAGGCACCATTTGATGCAAGGTGGTGTAGAGTTTTGCAGTTAGGCTGTCAGGAGAGCAGCAGGGGAAGCCAGGTTCTCTGCTGGTTACGTGCAGTAACTACCCCAGCCACGCGTGTCTCACTTCTGCTGAATATTTAATTATTCTGTTGAAGGCAAAACAGCTTTTACAGGGTGGGAGAGGATCCCCTTTCTGTTCTTACCTCAGATTAGGTAACAATCCACTGATTAAAGCATTGAGGAAAGACTGTTAAAAATCCTATGGGATCCTGAGAACAACTGAAATCATATCTCCTTCCTTTTCACTACTGAGTTATGAGGTTAGGGGAGTGGTCTACCAGGACTTTTGGGTTCATTTATGGGGGTTTTTGCAGCCTTAGCTATTGACCGAGCTCTGAAAATGCTTATGGCTGGACCTTCTCATGTTCATAGATAATGTAAAGCCTGTTTTGTGAATTCTAGTTTGAGATGGGCACGGCACTGTTCATTACCATCAGTGCTGCAACATTTCTGCATATCCAACACTTCTGCAGACATCCATGATGAGATACATGTGTGGATATTTCAGCTATCTATAGCATAGAGAGCTCCACCGATCACTTGAGGCTCCTTTGCAGTCAGTGGAGATGAGTGGATGTTTTCAGGTTTTTAGGAGCTCTTCTGGCAGGTTACCTTCCGAAAGGAGTGAGAGAAATTGCCCAAAAAAGCCCTAGACACTTTTTTTGATTTCTGATGATAGCTGTGCTGGACAGAAGACTGTGCATCTTA